GCTGACCTCCAAAAAAAAAAAAAGGCAGTAATTTTATTGGAATACACGAGTTTTCTCTTTTCAGAACCCAAATAGAAAGGATATTTGTTATATTCGAATACAATGTGTACGTTTTCTATTCGAGGAGCTTCACTATTCGCGAAAAGTGCACCTGCACCGTTTCAATTTCGAAAATGGCTTAAGGACCTCGGCCTCCTTGGCCTCCTACGGGCAACTACCAGTCCTATGCGGTCCTGGCCCTTGCAAGGCCCCAAAACCTCAAAAATGCTCACCCTCCCGACGACCACCGACGTTGAAATTTGATTGACATTGAAATGTTTCGGGGGGGGGAAACGCAACCGTGACGGACTGCGAATTGGAATACAAAAGTTATTTCTTTTCGAAATCCGAATAGAGAGGTACACGTTATCGGGGCAAATACCCTGACAAGGGTATGTCACGGTATTTGCCAGGGTTTTTGAACGTCGGACGTTGTCCGACTTTTTCTTGTTGAGTTGAAGGACTTGATAAGACTTACGGTTGCCAAAAGTTTATTCAGACCTGACCTGTGACTGAGAGACTAAAAATTTTCAAGCTTTAGTTCGGACGCTTATGGCGTCCGAGAGTAAAGACAGTAGCTAGCAGTGCTTTGTTTTTGTTGAAACCGCAGAAGAGCGAGAATATGGAAATGCTAATGTTAGACCTATTCTACCTAAAATAATGTAGTCGCGGGATTCAAGGTCTAAGTAGGCTAAAAAGAGGGATGCGCATGATATAGGGCTGCGGCGCGGGAGAAATATAAAGTTTTTTTTTTTCCTGGGCCCGCAGGGTTTGATTTCGAGCCAGGGGGCCGACAGGCCGGTGCCAAGGCCTACCCGGTTAGGTCATCAATCAAGTCGTGGTCACACGGCCAATTAACGGGGCAGGGCCAGCAAGCAAAGTCTGTTAGACCTCAAGCAGCGAGGCCTGCAGAGCCACAGCCAGGCAAGGCCTGCAAGGCCACAGGCAGGGGGGATGTCAGGGCTAAGCTCTTCTTATAAAAGAGTTGCTCCTACCACTGTTGTGATAGGAGCTAGCCCAGTAGGTTACAGTACTTGACTCTTACCAAGCAGAAACCGGGATCGAATCCAGCGTGCTGCGCTACTGGGCTAGCTCCTCTTGGAGTTGCCCTTTCTAAAGTGGTGCGGTCGATTTCAACCGCCCGATCTTGAAGATCGCGCGACCGAGATCGGTCGCGCGAGTTAGTATGACCCCTGCACAAGGATGACACGCATAAATCGAGAAATGGTCCAAGTTTCTTTTCGATCCATAAGGGGATTGGACTCGGGTCTGTATTTCAACGGTTCGTGGGCGTGCCACGAATGGGATGTGACCGTTGGGAAAGCCAACGAAAAAAAAAAAAAAAAAAAAAAAAAAAAAAAAAAAAAAAAAAAAAAAAAAAAAAAAAGAAAAGGTAGGGAAGTGACTGGGGCGTTTCAGCCTCAGTGCACAACGGAGGCCTCTAAATACGGGCAATTTCTCATGCCATTTATAACAAAACACAAGGGTCATTTTTAACCACACTCGCCACCAATTCATTGAGTGAAAATCATACAAAAAAAAAAAAAAAAAAAAAAACACTAAAAACTGAAATGAAGGAAACGTGCGACGCCACATGGCGCCGTTGGAAGTGACTAGGGCGTTTTAGCCCCAGTGCTTGCTGATAGCGCCTTGAAAAACGGGCAGTCATTTTCGTTTCTGCAGGAGGTAAGTCGTTTTTTTTTTGTTTTTTTTTTAGATTTCGTTTTATACTTTTTTTTTTAATTTAGATTTTGCCTTCTTCTTCTTTATATTTCATTTATTTATTTATTTATTTTTTCTTTCTTTCTCTTGGTGCCTCTTGTCGGAACGTTGAACGTCTGTTCGTGTCAGACGAACGGGTCATAATAAAAAATAAAAAAAAAGGGAAAAGCATGGTTGTGCAAGATTGTTTCGTCGGACTTCCAACGACTCATCAGGGGGCCGTGCCCTAACAGTCCATCCACAGATGGGCAAAAATTGAATGAATCAGCCGACACAGGGCGCCTATGTTGGGGGCACAAGTTATTGTTCATTGTTGTTGTTTTTTTTAAGTTAGATTTGTTTCCTTAGATTTTCTTTGGATTTTTTTTTTTTTTTTTTTTTTTTTTTTTTTTTTNTTTTTTTTCATCCTTGCGCAACGGCCATGATAATCTTCTGTGTGTCTATGGAAGAGGAGGACAACGAGGAAGGGGACACAGAGAAGATTATCATGGCCGTTGTGCAGGGATGAAAGAAAAAAAGAAGGCCGCCGTATCCTCCTCTTCTTCCTTCTCCCCTTCCTCATTGTCCTCCTCCTCTTCCATAGACACACAGAAGATTATCATGGCCGTTGCGCAAGGATGAAAGAAAAAAAAAAGCCGCCGTTCACCTCCCTCCCCTTCGCCATAGACTCGCCCTCCCGTGCGCGAAGTCTGCTCCCACATCGCGACACCTCCCCTCCTCTTCGACATCGCCATCACCCCTGCCTTGCGCGACCTTCTCCCCTCTTCCCCCTGTCGTGAGCACCTCCTCCTCCTCCTCCTCCTCATCCTCCTCTTCTTCTTTTTCCTTCTCCTTCTCCTCCTCCTCGTCTTCCACTTCGTCTTTGTCATCCTCGTCCTTCTTTTCCCCCTCCTCCTTCCTCGTCCTCCTCGTCCTCGTCCTCCTCCTCCTTTCCTCCTCCTCCTTTCCTCCTCCTCCTTTCCCCCTCCTCCCCCTCCTCTTCGTCTTCGTCATCCTCCTCCTCCTCCTCCTCATCTTCCTTCTTTTCTTCTCCTCCTCCTCCTCTTCTTCTTCGTCGTCCTCCTCCTCCTCCTCAATCGAGACAGAGAAGATTAGCGTGGCTGCTGAGCACCTCCCCTCTCCCCCCCATCACGACACCTCCCCTCCCCTCCGATGTCCTCCTAACTCCTCCACTTCCTCTTCTTCCACTTCGTTTTCGTCCTCCTCCTTCTCCTCCTCCTCCTCTTCTTCTTCCTGCTCCTCCTCCTCGTCTTATTCCACTTCATTTTCGTCATCGTCCTTCTCCTCCCGGCCTCGTCCCGCCACCTCCTCCCTCCACCTCTTCCGCCTCCTCCTGCGAGGTGCTCCCTCCACCTCTTCCGCCTCCTCCCGCCCACCTCCTTCCGCCCTTCTCCCCGTACCTCTTCCCACCACTTCGTCCGCCTCCTCTCGCGCTCCTTTGGCCGACCTCCTCCTCCTCCTCCGCCTCGTCGTCTACCGCCTCCGTCTCCTCCCGCCCTCCTCCCGCCACTTCCTCCCCTCCTGGCGCCCTACTCCCTCACGCCTCCACCGTCTCCAGCCTCCTCCTGCCACCTCCTCAACGTCCTCCTCCCCCTCCCGCCCTCCTCTCGCCCGGCTCCCGCCACCTCCTGCATCCACCTCCTCCGCCACCTCTTCCCTCCACCTCCTCCCCCATTCTTCTTCTTCGTTTTTTTTTTCCCGTTCTGTTTCCTTTTTTCCCCTCCTGCAGCAGTAGCAGCAGCACCTGCTCGAGCTGCTGCTGTAGCAGCACCTGCTGCACATGCCCCAGCTGCTGGTGCTGCAGCAGCAACTCCTGGAGCTGCCACTGCAGCAGCACTTGCAGCATCACCTGCTGCAGCAGCACATGTTGCAGATGCCGCAGCTGCTGCTTCAGCAACACCTCCTGCAGTTGCAGCATCTGGTCCAGCATCACGTGCTGCAGATGCCGCAGCAGGCCGTGCTGCAGCTAGTGCGGCAGCTGATGCTGCAGGTGCTGCAGGCCCTGCTGCAGCTGGTGCAGCATTTGCTGCAGCGCCTGCGGCGGCTGGTGCAGCATTTGCTGCAGGGCCTGCTGCAGTGGCTGGTATAGCTGGTAAACCGTATTTTTTCTGTATTTTTATTTCCTAATCTCAAAACGCCCTCAGATTTTTTCTTGGGGTTCCAACCATCGGGTGCAGCAAGTGCCACATTTCAGAGGACGAGGGGCACTGCCAGATTTGCTGAAAATTGAATGTACGGGATCCCGGAGACGTGGACTCCAAGACGTCTGGCCAGTCTTGAGGTTGACACAACGCGGTGGAATTGAAGTGGTACGTCCAAAGCAGGTGCCTTGTGTAAAGGTCAGGACCGACAGATACACGTGCCACTTCACTTCCACCACGTTATGCCAGGCTCAAGACTCAACGGACAAATAGTTCTTTAATTTCGACAGCTTCATGAGTATTTGTGAGCAATTGACATTGTAAAGTGCACTTGTGATGCCCTTGCCGTCCTTCTTCTCCCTTGCCTTTCCATATTCTGTCCCACGTGTCACAAAACCATCATATCTTTTTCTTTCCTAATTTGAAGTATTTCTGGATTTTGTGTTTTTTGTCATCGTTACCCGTGGCCCATAAAATCTTCTGCGAGGAATGAGCCCTCACGGGGCCCTCACTGACATGCAAGTGTTCTGGGCTGTGGCCCCCAGCAAGCATTGTGCCCGCCCTAAGTGAAGGCAGACCTGGATATCCACGAGAGGCCTACTTTCGACATTTTCCATATGTGGGTATCAGACAGTTGCATCACGCCAGTTGGTTACCGAGCAACATGAGCCTCTCCTGGCTGTTTCCAGAAAAAGTAGCTGCGACGTGCAGTTGAGCCCAGGGCTGGTTGCACCCTGGCATACGCAGTGTGAGGCCGACACATCACGTAGTGGCCGCGGGCCAATGAGAAAGCAGCACACACGCACCGCGAGCCAATGAGAAAGCAGCACACACGCACCGCGAGCCAATGAGAATGTGGCAAACACTTGCAGCCTGGAGGGCTGCCTGGTTGTGCCCAACTGTAGTAAAGGGCTCAGGCCCGTAACAGTAAAAGTGGGCCTGGGCGCAGACACTGGGGCCCGACTGGAAACTACTGGAAACGTGTCCACCCAGGCCCACGCAGCCCAACACAGGGCTGCACTTTCCATAAAGGAAAGTGCCCTGCCCAGGCAGGGGCATTCTGGCCTAGGCAGGCATCGCGCCCACACTGCTGCAATGCTGGGCGCTGCTGCAATAGCGCTAGTCGCCCAGGGCGCATGCGGGCGCAGAGAGGTGTGAGGGCGCTGCGGTGGCAGTGGGCGCACTGTGACCATAGCCGGGCAGAGCATGCGGAAGACGGGTGATGGTGATGGTGGTCTTCGGGTAGGAGGCTCATGAGGTGGGGTGACGAGGTGTGACGAGGGGAGGAGAGAGAACGTACCTGGTGTATGTTGGCGGGCTGCATTGGTGATGACGTCACGTACAATGGTCTTCAACTTCGATGTGATCCAGTCACATGAACGTAGATAGGATAGATAGGTTTAGTGTAGGCTGGGTGCTGGGCGCCAGACAGTAGGTGCGACATTGGATACAGAGTTGGTGAGACCAGAGAGCGCCGGCATTGGCACTCGAGTTTATTGTATTGCTCTTATTTGGATGGTATCTTGGTGCATTGTGCTCTCTGCTTGGTACATGACTATCTGGACTACTTCGTGATTTTGCAACTTGGTTTTCTGTCTGCGAGGCATAGGGCCTCGATTTGCCCTACAAGGCCTATTTCTCACACTGTCGGCTGCCCTAAGTGAAGGCAGGCACGACCGAGGCCCTACAGGCCATTTTGGGGTCACCACGCAACTGGGGAAATTCAGGCAGTTGCGCAGCACCAGTTGGTTGGAAGCGCCCAGGCCCAGGCTGCCTTTCATTGCATGTAACTGAGGCAGGCCCTGGGCCGGATACACAAAGTGGACCGAACAAAGGCTGAGGGCAGTTGGGTGTTGGTAACCGCCACAGGCCCTGGGCCTGTTTACTTCGGACTGAGGCTCAGCCTCGTGGGGCCTACCGGAAGCTTCTGGACCAGGGCCCAGTGCCTCACTACTGCACGCAGCAGCAGGCCACTTCGATATAGGGACTGTCTCTTATACACATCTAGATGTGTATAAGAGACAGAAACAGGACGTTTCGTTTCTGCGGCGCCGTACCTGGCACAGATCGGGTCCAAGTACAGATGTCGCATGGACACCTGCTTATGACAGCCAAGCGATTCATAGCGATGTTACTTTTTGATCTTTCGAAGTTGGCTTTAGCCAATTGTGCACGAATCAGGCACATTTACAATACCTGATACGGGCGCACACAGGGGAAGTAAAACCCGGTTGAGCCTGACCCTACTTCGACTTTGTGAGGGGCGGCCGTTCTATTCGAACGGTGAATTTGCCCCTGCACAGAGAAATGAAGGGCCAGGAAAGGTAGAAAAAAAAAGATAAGTAACGGTCATGTACATGGCCGCGGGCACGAAATAGATACAGGGGATAAAAATAAGAAAAAGTAAGAAAGGAAAAAACGGTCGGGAATATGGTTGCGGCTGTGGAACAGGTGCAGCCTCTAGAAGGTTCTAGGGGTTGATGGGACTGCGCCTGTACAGTTGAACAGGCAGCCCTGTTGAGTACAGCCATTTCTAGGAACACCTAGCCTGGAAAAATGACTAAGTACTCCTGGAAATTGATGACCTTGGTTCCCCTAGGGGAAAACCAAGGTATTGAGTTCCTTGCCATTGATTTAGATCAAGGGCCAGAAGCGCTGACGAATTTTCGCCTCGTTGTGGGCAAAGCAGCTGCCCACATACCTTCGGCTAGCTATGAAAGCCAGCTTGTCACCCAGCAGCCTCACACTTGTGGCAATGCTGCTGGGGCATTATACTTGAGTAGATGCTGGCTGGCTGGCTGCTCGTATAGTGAGGCGAAATGTTGGAGGTCTGCAAAAGTACTTGGAGGAGGAATGCGGGCAGGGCAGCCATAGCTAAGGGCTAGAGGCGCTTTGCCCCACCTTTATGCTAGTGTTGTGGCGGTAAGGCTGCGTCAGGGTCCGGACGGTGCGGCAAGCGGCACCCATTTTAGTGGGGTTGCGCTGCTGGATTGTCGGCAACGACAACGATTATTTTTAAGGGGATATGCTGTCGGATTTGCCGCGCGGCGCGGATGTTTTTTACTGTGACTGAGGGGAGGTGTTGCTCATTTGACAGCACGACAACGACAAGGGTCGTCAAGAGTTATGCTGCCGAAATTTTGGCTCGGCGGCAACCTTTTTTTTTTAGGGGCCAGTGCTACCATTTGTTTTTGGCATGGCGGCAGCAACACTTTCAGTGGAAGTGATACTTTTTTTTTAGCACGGCGGTAACAACAGTTTTAAGTGGGGTTATGCTGCGTATTTGACGACACGGTAAGTGATGGTCGCGCCGTTGATTTTTTGTGTGTGGCCGCTATGGCGGATCAACATGATGTAGAGGTTGGGCTAGCGCTGGTATGTGGTTGGGATTGTGCGGAGCTGGTGCACGATTGGGTCTGTGCGACAGTGGTGCATGGACCGACGACATGAAAAGAGCGTGGAGTGAGTGCTCGCAGCAGTGGTTATTGGAACTGCGGTACTTGCGGTTTGCGCCGAAAGGACATCTTTATTTATTTATTTTGGGCATGAGGCACATGCAGTTTTCAGCCAGCGCCACCTTTATTTTTTTTGCGGTACGTAATGCGAGCGGTTTTGAGTTCTTGACCATCTGGTATTGCGGACGATGGCTCTTAGGACCATCTTGGGACCAAGTGGGACCAAACTTGGGGTATGGACGTGATGCAGTGAGACTGCGTTGGGACTGTTCAAAATATTGGGATTATGTGGGAGTTATTCTTGGGAGCACACTCCTGGAGGGTTATTCAACAGGAGTTCTCTCAATGAAACCGACTCTTGCTTATTTGAGTACTTGAGAGAGGACGTGGATTGTGATTCAGGAGAGAGACCACAACTTGTGGAGTTGTGAGCCGCGTATTTTTATGTGAGCTGCATATTTTCAGCTATAACGACGATAGTTTTTTTTATAATTTGATTGGAATATTACCCGACTTTCTTGAGTGAGCCGGATCAAACTTCACTCAAGATCAGTTAGTTGTTTGACTCATATTTCCCTTCACACCTGTGTGAACCCATACTTTGCTGACCCTGTTTGTTTTGAAAGTTCAAAAGGAGAAGGTAGATGAAAGTTGCGCAAGTCATGCATGTGAATTGAAAGGTCTGACTTGAGTATGAAATTGTACTGTTTTTTTTTTCAACTTGTTTTCTTTGCATGTCGTGCAAGTAGGTAGAAGGATGCTTGCAAAGGAGGTTGCTTGTGTCTACACGGGATGATGAAAAAAATTGTTATATTTCTACCTTTCGTTTGTCTGCATATTAAAAATATTTGTATCTTTAACTGAATGATTTTAATGGGTACAGTGAAAAAAAGTTTGTCAATATAATGAAGATGTAGATAATTAAACTTCATTTTTTTCCTAAGGTTGACCCTTTCTATCTCGAATGACCTTATCTACCTATACTTGTCCAAATTATTTTTATTCTCTATTTCCTTCAATTTTTTTTCGTCCAAGCTACCGTGAAGTCAAAAGAAATAAGAATAACTGAAAGCTACTTGCAAGTGGACACATTTTCTAGCTTTAGGAAGCTTCTTGGTGGGGTTTCGTTGCTTCAGGAACCGACCCTGTTATTGACCCAGAGTGGACCATTCTACGAGAGGGTACTTTGCCGATTCGGTGGAGACGGCCCGACTTCTGAGATCCGAGATTTGTGCTCGAGCGAGGAGGAGGTGTACCCCGGACCACTTCCTAGAGAATGAGACATGCAAAACTTCAAGCAATGAACATGATAAAAAATCATTAGTAAAGCAGTTTGTCATCCAATAAAAATTGGAAGCATATGGAGACGGGTGTGAGCGTGTCTAATCTTAGGTTGACGATAGGTTGGAATAAATAACTTTGGCAACGCATCTCATCAAGTTAAAACTAAGGCAATTCGACTGCCTTGTCGGTTGCATCAATGTTATTATCGGTAGCCAACTCCTTGTTGGCATTTATATGATATTTTTGTGGAGTTCGATCTGAGATGGTCGGATTGTATTTCGATCTTATGTTGTTGGATGTACTGTATGATGATTCGAGTTCTTTTTGATGTAATTATGTATGATTATTATTATTTTTTTTTACTATGTGTCTAGGGGACTAAAATTGAATTGTGGTTTCACACTTAGTTGAGACCGTCCTAATTGGTTGACAGCTGCTTCGTACTTAGGAGATCAATGCCCTAATGGACGAACGACGTTCGGGTCCATTTGGCGTTAACCAAGCATATCTATATTACAACGAACGAGCAAACACCCTCGACTGACCTACCTCTGCAATTGCACTTAAAAACTTTCGCACGTGGGTTAATGGCTCGGTAGGGATACGCCCCTAAGTGTGGTGACAACCCCTTAGGGAAGGAAAGCTCATACTCCGCGAGAATCCTGTCGTAGGGGACCATATGATGTATAGCTGGCGCACCCGGCTAGAGCGGCGAAAGGACGCCCCGACCGTGCCCGTCTCGGCGGTTTGCAAGATTGTTTTGCGTCGTCCTCAAGTTGTCTCGTTTTTGTTTTGTTTTACTCATGCGTGACATGGTCGAGAGGGCTCCCGCACTTTGCGAAAAAGGAGGGAGCCGATGTGCTCGACAACATTGTATTCAAATACAACGTGTAAGTGTTCTACTCGAGGTGCTCTGTTGTTGGAGAAAAGTGGACCCACGCCATTTCAATTTTGAAAAAGGCCGCGACCTCCTCGGCCTCCTACGGGCAGCTACCGGTCCTATGCGGTCCTGACCCTTGCAAGGCCCCAAAACCTAAAATGCCCACCCTCCCGACAACCACTGGCGTTGAATTTTCAATGACGTTGAAATGTCTCAAGGGGGGAAAACGCAACCCTGACATGCTGCGAATTGACTTACTGTGAGGGCACGGGTGGCAGATTAGTGTGTGTGTGTTTGTGTGATACTTAGGGTGTTTGTGTTTATCACATCTGTTAGTGTTGGAATGTGTGGGATTTTGGTAATTTGTATGGTATTAAACCACCAGTACTTGGCCCAGCTATCCAAGCCGAGCCTCCCAGCCCCCTGTGCGCCAATTCCTACCGAACCGCCATCGGTCTTTTTTATTTTCGTTTTGGCTGTGGCCTCCAGCCAATGCGGTCCGGTAGGCCGAAGCCCGAATGCCGCGGCGCGTTAGCAGGAAAGTGCCGCAGACGATAGCTGGGCCAAGTCCTGGTGGTTTAATGTATTAGATATTTGACATACCTTGATTCATAGTTGGTGTCGAGGCTGGTGGTCCTTGAATCTTGGTCCATATGTCATATATGTGTGTGCTTGAGTGTTTGTTGTTGTAAGTTTTTTTCTTACTAAATAAAGGTTGTTTTGTCACATCTTACTCACTCAATCGGGCGCTGAACGTGTGGGGCGTGTGGGGCATTGAATACGTCCACGTTCAAACACATCTGTTTGCACTTGCAAATGCAATGGAGGTGTGTCTTTTCAACCTGCGCCCAAGGCCGCACCCTTTCCTATTCAGACTTTTCCACTTTTCCACCCTGCCGCTGCTTTGCCACGGTTTCGACCAAAACCCAGGGCGCGGTCCCACCGGCAGCCGGGCCCGCATTTTTCAAAGAAACTGCCACCCCCCCCAAAGATCCACCCTGCCGCTGCTCTCAGGGGGGAAAACGCAGCCCGTCACTACGAATATTTTCCGAGGACAGGAGGGCCTCCAAAAGTGAAAAAAGGCCGGATTGAGGCCGTTAGATCTTGAAGATCTACGGCCCCGATCGGGCTTTTTTTTTTTTTTTTTTTTTTTTTTTTTTTTTTTTTATCGGGCATTTTTGGAATTCGAGGTCGCGCGGCTTTGTCTCTCCGCCGCGTGCGACGGTGGTGTCGGCATTCAACGTCGATGCTCACAGAACGTGGACACGGGTTCTGCGTGTCGCCGAGCAGCCATCGTCTCCGGACTTCAACGTAGGTCTGCTCCTCCTCCTCTTCCTTCTCTTCCTCTTCGTTTTCGTCACCTACTCCACATCTTCCTCTTTTTCTTCTTCCCCTTCCTCCTCCTCTTTCTCTTCTTCTTCCTTCTCCTCCTCCTCCTCTTTGCCCTGCTCGTCCTCCTCCTTATCCTGCTCCTCCTCCTCCTTGTGGTGTTGCTGCTCCTTCTCCTCCCCCTCCTCCTCCTTTTCCTCTTGGTCTTCGTCATCGTCCTCCTCCTCCTCCTCCTCTTCGTTTTCCTGCTCGTCCTCCTCCTTATCCTGCTCCTCCTCCTCCTTGTGGTGTTGCTGCTCCTTCTCCTCCCCCTCCTCCTCCTTTTCCTCTTGGTCTTCGTCATCGTCCTCCTCCTCCTCCTCCTCTTCGTTTTCCTGCTCGTCCTCCTCCTTATACTGCTCGTCTTTATCCTCCTCCTCCTCTTGTTCCTCTTCGTCTTCGTCATCCTCCTCCCCCTCCTCTTATATCGAGACAGAGAAGATTGGCATGGCCTCTGCGCAAGGATTAAATAAAAACAAAAAATAAGTCGTGTGCGGGTCCCCTTCCGTTCGCCATCAAGTCCCGCTTCCCTGCGCGACCTCCCCCCCTCCCCTCTCGCAACAACACTCCCCTTCCACCTTCGATATCCTCCTCCTCCGCCTCCTATTCCTTACAGACTTATCCTCCGCCGCCTGCTGCTGCTCCTCTTCTTCCATTTCGTCCTCGTCATCCTCCTTTCTTCCTCCTCCTCATCCTCTTCTTCTTCCTCCTCCTCTTCCTCCTCTTCTTCCGCCTCCTCCTTGTCCTCCTCAACTTCTTCCTCCTCTTCGTCCTCCTCCTCTTCTTCTTCCTGCACATCCTCCTCATCCTCCCCATCCTCCCTATCCTCCTCATCCTCCTGATCCGCCTCCTTACCCAGCTCGTCCTCCTTACAGGCTTATCCTCCTCCTCTTCTTTCGTTTCGTTTTCGTCATCCTCCTCTTCCTCCTCGTCCTCCTCTTCTTCTTCCTGTTCCTCCTCCTCCTTCTCCTCCTTCTCCTCCTTCTCCTGCTCGTCGTCGTCGTCCTCCTCCTCTTCTTCTTCCTCTTCGTCTTCGTCATTCTGATTCTCCTCTTCCTCACCTTCCTCTTTTCTTCTTCCTCCTCCTCCTCCTCCTCCTCCTCCTCCTCTTCTTCTTCCTCTTCCTTGTCCTCCTCCTCTTCCTCCTCCTCTTCTTCCTCCTCTTCTTCCTTCTCCCCTTCCCCCTCGTCCTACTACGCTTTCTCCACAGAAAAGATTAGTATGGCCGCTGCGCAAGGATGAAAGAAAAAAAAGAATGGCCGCCGCGCACCTTCCCTCCTCTTCGCCATAGACTCGCCCTCCCCAGCGCGACCTCCGCTCCCCCATCGCGACACCTCCGCTCCCCTTCGACATCGCCCTCACCCCTGTCTTGCGCGACCTTCCGCCCCCTCCCCCTATCCTGAGCACCTCGTCCTTCTCCTTCTCCTCCTCCTCCTTCTCCTCACCTCCTTTTCCTCTTCTTCTTTTTCCTTCTCCTTCTCCTCATCTTCCTTCTCGTCGTCCTCCTCCTCCTGCTCGTCTTCCTCCTCGTCCTGCTCGTCCTCTTCCTTGTCCTGCTCGTCCTCTTCCTCCTCCTCTTATATCGAGACAGAGAAGATAAACATGGCCGATGCGCAAGGGAAAAAAAACCAAAAAATAAGTCGCCGCGGGCCTCCCCTGCCCTTCGCCATTGACTCCTCCTCCCCTGCGCGACCTCCCCGCCCCCCCCTCAATCGCGACACTATTCCCTTTCGATAATGCGACACCTCCCCTCCCGTTCGATATCCTCCTCCGCAGCCTCCTACTCCTTATCGGAGATCCTCCTCCTCCTCCTCCTCCTCTTTGTCCTCCTCGTCTCCTCTTCTTTTTCCTGCTTCTCCTCCTCGTCCTGCTTCTCCTACTCCACCTCCTCCTCCTTCCCCTACTCTTTATCCTGCTCGTCTCCTCCTCCTCCTCTTCTTCCTCTTCGTCTTCGTCATTCTCCTTCTCCTCCTCCTCTTCGTCCTTCATTTCTTCTTCATTCTCCTCCTCGTCCTGTTCTTCTTCCTTCTCCTCGTCCGCCTCCTCCTCCTCTTCAGAAGTTTGGGAGGATTGTCGGTGGGCCGCAAGGCAGGGTTATGTGGAAATTCCCCTGCGTCGGGGATTGTGCGCGTGAGCTGAGATGAGTATGCGCGGCTTGGTAATGAAGTGCTTTCGAAAGGCAGTTGGCCACTGTTTCCACTATTCTTCTTTCTCCCCGTCCTCGAAGAGGAGGGGAGGTGTCGCGATGTGGAAGCGGACTTTGCGCAGGGGAGGGCGAGTCTATGGCGAAGGGGAGGGAGGTGCACGGCGGCCCTCTTCTTTTTTTTTTTTTTTTTTTTTTTTTTTTTTT